AGCATCTGCCATGGGAGAAAACGTGATCGCCATCGATCCTTCGACAGAGACAGAAAGACGAGAAATGGATCAGGTGATCCAGGGTCGGATGGGCATGTCCCGTGTCACGTCTTGTCATGTGGATCCTTTCGATTCTTTCCCTTTGGTCTCGGGTATATGATGACGGGGTGTGGGTACGATGTGGTTCCATTATAAGCCGGCGGATATAGAGCGCAGCAGGATTTCCACGAGATCTTCTCCTGATCTCCCTCTGTGATACATCCCGCTAACCGCAGGGTATCCCATCGAGCGGAAACATTAACTGTTACCTAAGGTCGATATCGCGAGCTTGAGGAATCCCGGGAAATATCCTTGCATGTTCTCGATGGAAAGCAAGGGCACGTTCAGAATTGTTTCATGGGTAAGGGAGAAGGGAATGCACTCCTCACAACCGGCAGAAGTTTACCGGAACGTATTCGCTGTTACCGCTGCGTTCCAAAGAGGGACTCAGGTATGATTAACCAGCTGTCGAAAGGTAAAAAAAAAAACAATTTTGGAAGTAAATTCACAGCCTTAACTGCGTATGACTTGGCAAGCACGAGTTTTAACCCACAACTATTTCAATTTCAAACGCTGCTAAATAAATATTTAAAAAAAAGTGAAATCCCTCACAGGTTGTTGCATGTACCTATGCAGGTACATGCAGCCGTATGCAGGTATGAGCCGAGAGATTGCTCCCGCATAATTAACCGGGAGTTGAGAAAATGGTGTCAAGGGAAGCAGGAGGAAACGTGCAAATCACATCCTTCCCTTTCCCGGGGGAACGAGGTTAGCAACACGAGATTGGATTCGCAACCGCGCATCGAGTCGAGAGTTTTTTCCACGCGACCTTTTTCGTCTGAAAAAAAGACGGGCTGCTCCAATTGCCTACGGAACTGTAGAATGGGTATTGCACAATAAAAGTGCGAGTTGTATCGGTGTCGTGCGATTGGAATGACTCCTAAACGATTCCACTTGTTGGAATGCAGATGGAGCATGCCTCGCAAGTATTCTCCGTTCCAATTCCAATTACAAAAAAAAAAATTATTTTGAAGCTGAGTAGATCGAAAACTTGGGCGTCACTACAGCTGGGATCATGGGATAGCGGCTCCTCCCTCAGTCTAATTATATTTCAAATCGAGATCTCTTGATGTTCTGTCCAAGTTTCTAACGCTAGGCTCACGTTGGGCCGAGCTAGTGGCTCCAGGGTGAAAAGAGCGAACTGGATTGTCTAGGTTCTCCTCCTTATCCTCCTCTTCCTCTCCTCACGCTCCTCAAAACTTGGTGACTTGAGACATTAAGCGTTGAAATGCGCTAATACCTGTATGTACTTCAGCCGTTTTCACCTGTGTAGCCTAAATGACTGAGGTGCTCCACGTGATGTCTAATGTTTTTCAACGTTTCATTAATCAGCTACAAGTAGGAGAGAGATGGAGTTGCAGCGACATGATCTTGTGGACAGCAGGAACTTTTGGGGGCATGCCACTGGTCTTATTTTCTTGCGGTTCTTGCTACATTCTCCCCATTCGGGTACTTCACCCTGAAGAATGTCCTAGTTCGAATGAAGCAAAGAGCGGGGCTTCTTTGGGAAATTTTGGGTATTTTCCCTGCAATTCAGACGTTAAATCACTGACCATATTTTTCCCTCGCCGGATATCGTCCCCATGGGGTTCAGAAAACTCTTGCTTCAAAATTATGGGATCCTGAATCCATACTGGATTCACCAATCCACCACGGCTGATTCTTTGAATTCAAGAGCCTCTTAATGGGCTATGAACCGAGCAGGAACTTGGAACCTTCGTCGCAAGTTTGAATACCACATATCTTGCCGCGTACTTAAATGCCTGGTCTTCGTGTGTGAGACCTGTGAGACACCTGTAGACCTTGAGACACACCTGTGCGATCTGGCATGTCAGAAATCGGCATACCTTTCTCGTTGGACTTCTCATTTTTTTCCGCCTGGAAGTCTAAATCTGGATCCTTCTGTTCTTCCATTGCATGCGAAGGCAACTTATCCGAGCGAATGTCAATCAGGAGACTTGCATCTTCACCTGGAACATTACAATATCTTGATAGAAGCAGACTCAGGCCAGAGCTCAGGAGCAAGAACCTTATTCTGAACATGACTGAAATGGGTGTTGGGCATGTATCCACATGCCTGCTGCTCTGATTTGGCTGAAAACGTTTTCTTGGGCATCTTGATTCAGGCGTGGTGTCAGAATGTAACACTGGGAATGCCTCTCGACAAGATAGGAAGCCAGGTTCTTCAGTAATAGCATCTTCCTTGGCATCATTAGAAAATTCGAAATCATTCTTTATTTCGTCATGAGCCAAGCAAGAAATGCCCTCTTTTTTTGGAATGACTTCAACGTGATAATCGTGATCAATCGAACTATATCAACCAAGAGTCCAGCCTCGCACGATAGATTATTTGACCACGTACTCAATCGGGATGACGATGGGAAAGGTAACTCGAGATTTTGCGCGTCGTATTCATAGCCTTTGCTTGCCACGTTTTTCAGAGGGATTGCTCCAGTGTGGTCAAGATGTGACAACTTTCCAGGGCGTGATTTCTCACCCTTGACATTTAGCTAGGTTTCAGTGAAGAATTTCCCCAAAATTGACGGATTCTTCATTTCGCTGCACTTGTTTCAGTTCCAGAATAATCTTGTTTCTATCTTCAGCGCATGATTGTACAGATACGTCTTCGTCTTCTCATACGAGAATTTTCGTACCTCTTGTCATTTTCGTCGTTCGCCTCTGAACCCTCACGATCGCCTTTAGATTGCTTTCATTCGCAAGCCCTTCGGAATCGTATACTGTCTTACCAGTGCCGCATACATCGGAAGAATAACGCGCGAGCTCTTACTGGGAATGGAATGCCGGATCGTGCTCAAGATCCTCTTATATTTGGCTACCGCAGCCTGCGCTTGCGAGAACTTGAGTTTTGCATTGGTTTTCCCAGCGTCTCTCCCTCCGTTTGCCTCCTCTAGTTCTCACTGAACGCATTCAGAGATCATTGTTGCGACCGATGTACCGAATCTTAAATTTACTCTTATAACACTTCACGAGCCTTTTTTTTTTTGTTCCACTCGTCGAAAAGCAGTAAATTCTTGGCTTCTCGGCTCTCGCCCAGGCGCACTATCATTTGACTTCAATAACTCATATTATACCAGGTTTATATACGAATATAACTATATTTGAGAGAACGTTCAGTGTTAGAACATTTGGAACATTACATGATATCATGGCAACTGTCGAACAGAGCTAGTTCCGCTCAGGTAAATTAGATTCCCACTTGTAAAAATTGTATAATAATAAAAAATCTCATGGAAGGCATAATCGGAAGACAAAAGCACACTGTTCAATAATCCTGTAGAAATGATTTACCAAACTAGATCTAAAGGAACATCAGTCACATTTTTCATCTGACACTTGCTTTAAAAAAAAGTATTTTCTAAAAAAAAAATCATTTTTCCTTTAAAAAAAAATTATGAATTTATTTCATTTCATTTGGTTTCATTTGGTTCACAAATTCTTATAATATTTTTGAACATCATTTCAATTTCCTAAAAATGTTGAAATTTAATGAAAATGTAACGAAAAAAAGTATTTTCGTATTTTAATTTTAACAAATATATTCTTAGACAAAGGCATTTCCCATACAAAATATCACACCCCAAGCTATCGTAGAATCCAAGAATCCGTTCAACCTGGTGTCTGAAGAAGTTAAAGAAAAGCCCTTGCTTCAAAGTTCGCCTGGAAAGAATGGATTCTTTCTCCCAGAGAAGAGAATAAAAGATGAAAAGTTTAGTTCTCAGGCTTTCCTCCTCCAAATACTTCCTCCCAATCCCTAGCTTTCTGTTGTGAAATGACTTACAGTGATTTGCAAATGAATTCGTACCACCTCTGACGTGATCTCCAGTGATCTGACGTCACTTCTTTCGCACTCGTCTCCTTGCATATGAAACAGCTAGTACAATATTAAATGCAGTACGAATTCATTTACAAAACTCTATTACCTATTTCCGGTGCCTTATAATCCCTCGACCCTCGCTCAATGCTTCTCCCGTGCACGTGCTATAAGTTTCTATCCTCAGCATGCCGTAGGTAAGAGCATAAATCGAGGCTCTTATGGAGCACGATTTTCAGTCATATTGCTTTATGGTCCAGCCCAGAATGATGACACATATCACCTCCGTAATTTTGGAATCATAAGAGCAAGAAAAAAATTCACGACTGAGGGATTAGCATGAATTTTTGGCTGGACCTCGCTATCAAAATTAGTGAAGTTGAAGTAAGGCTGAAGTCCCACTCCTAAATCTTAGAGAAAAAATGCAGCGAGAATATTGCTTCCAGCTGTCTTCGTTACTTCCTCTCACGACCATGACTGATAGAAATTTCTTTTTCATCGTGCTCATATTTTTAATATGCTGAAATAGAAATAGACTTTCACAAAGCTCTTAAGAGTAACACTCTTTCAATAAATTAAATTACCGTCCTCGTGAGCGTACAGTGTCTGTTCCCTTTTCAAATTTTCCGTTTCCTGCAAAAATACACCAATGGGTTTTTCTTGGGCGTGAGGGAGGGGCAGTTCATGGTGTCATTCTCCCTTCCCAATGCGAAGCTCATGCTTATGGAAGACCTTTTCGTCCTGAACAGTCTGGGCGTTCCGGAAATAGCATAATAGTGATGCCATTACGAAGAGGGGAAGCTGGGAAGGTGAAGGTTGTGGAAGGGATGAAATATAAGGCATGCTTGGATGATCCATGAACTCCTTGTGTCTACGTATTATGGCTTATTCTCGATGACAACGCACGCATGGAACCTGTCATCCAAAGCGAGGTGCAGGCCGGTTGATCATGCGGTAGATGTACGTCAGTATAAACCCATCTACATGTCTTCAAGGTTTCGTTTACCCCAGTGTGTTATCCTACGCGTCTTATTTTTTTTTCGTCTCAGGTAGAAGATGGGAACGGCAGAGAAGAGGGAGGAGAACATGCAGAGAGAGAGAAATGGGGTTCCCGCTGGGAATTCCTCCTCTCTTGCGTTGGTCTCTCTGTTGGGATCGGTAACGTCTGGAGGTTTCCTTACCTCGCCTATAGCAATGGAGGGGGTGAGTCCAAGACCTACTTCACCACTACAGTTTACAAATTCTTCCTTTCTCTTGCCTCTTGGCTTCCATTACTCGTTTCTGGACCGGTTGAAACATGGATCATAGTCCGCTCGTTTCCAAGGCTTGGCCTGTGTGTAACATCTACCCTGCATGCTGTCGAAGTTTCTCGTGCACAAAACAAAGAATAGTATTGATACACTTTCTGTCCCAGACTACCTTCCATGTGATGTAAAAATAATAAACATATTTAAAAAAAATAAACCAGAATCCTGCGGGGAATGGTTTGGAAGGACTTGGAACCTCTCTGAGGATAAATGCAGGTCTCCGCGGTAGAAACCTAACTCACGGATCGTCTGAGCACTCTCAAGGGAGTGGAAGGACCGATTCCACCTTCAGCCTGAAAATATCGACAATACGGTACCCAAAACAGATCGTATCTTTCCCGTGCCCTTTTCCCTGTGCCCAATGAAATTGAAAATGATAGTTTTGGGAAGTATGTTAAAGATAAACTGGCCAGCTACGCATACCACTTTTCCCCACTTTTAAGACGACAGGCACTGGAATATTTACTCTTTCCGTGTGGAGGTCGAGGAAAACATTTTCAATGAAAGGAAAAAGGTTCTATGAGCATTAAACAAACTTCATTCGGAAATCTATGCAGATAGACCACTTTTCCTTTCAACCCTTCACGTGTGGGCTTATACATAATTTATTTATTTACTTTATGGTTGAGTGGTCTCGAGAATTGCTCCAAGGGCCCTACCCAAGCCCAATGTTGGTCCGTAGACTGATGTTAGAAGTTAGTTTCTCGAATGAAAACTGCATCGTCGACAGTGCTTGTCGAATATCTACTTATGCTTCCCTCCCGGAAACCTTGTTTGTTCGAGTAAATATTAGATGGCAGGGCAGCGGGACACAATCATTTCATGACCCATTTTTTTACCTATAAGTCTTGACATGCACTGCTTGGATCGAGCCCCTGGACATTTTAATTTTACTAGTCGATGTCTATAGCACCCATGACGTCAGAAGACGCGATAGGCAACATTTATCTTCCATTGCAAAATTAAGCTTCTCGCGACTATGAAGGGGACGCTGTGTCGGAGCAAGTTTGAAGATGAATCCTTGAATGCTAAGGAAGCAATGTGGAAAATTTCAGCGCTCTACCTTCTGCAGTTTGGGTGCTAGAACACTAACAGACACACAGAGTCATAGGACGAAGTGCAATTTCCTCTGGTAGTCAATGCTTTTTTCGCTAGTGCTATATGGTGAACTTCGTTCGGTAAGTCTTCTGCTTATCTCACTCCAGTTTGAATAAAAGAACTACGGTTCAAAATCACTTTCGTGCTTGAGATTCTCCATAATAAAAGTGGTTCAGCGTGTAAGACTTAGAATTAGGGCTGTATTAATGTATCGGCCACCAGTGTTGCGCTATCGACACCATCGGCCATCGGCCTATGGCGCCGGTGCCCAAAGGACAGGCAAGGCGGAAAAAATAAATAATGTGAGGGTGTAAACGTAGCTATGCGCTGGCCTTCCTGTCTCACTTCGGCCACTCCTGCCAGCCTCTCCCAGATGAAAATATCGATTGGATTATATTCCAGCCGGATTATAGGAACCGGCAGAGGAAAGTAGGGTAAAGAATGGGAAATCATTGGATCTCCATTTACGTTGTGCTTTTGCAAGGGACGTGTCACTAAATGCTCTCAGCAGCAGCAATGGGTAACAAGCTAACCACGGACAGCCTTATAGAGAGACAGACAGGCTGGACGGGACCAAAAGTGGTCTCTATCGTTTCAAGGAAGCCTACTGATAAGTATCACGTGGCCTCCAATTAGTCCTATTTGAATTTATAGGTGATAACATTAATAAAATTCATATACAGTATGCATAACTTTTTCCTCAAAATATTCATTTGATATAGTTGAGATATAAACATTTTGATAACATCATGACCCCTTGACCTTTCGTGGGAGTCAACAGAACAAAACCAAAATGGCAGTGCAAGGAATCTTATTCTGGTCAAGTTTTATGGTGCATTATTTTGTTCTCATCATGGAGGAAATCCATGGAGAATCTATCATATTTTGCGATTTTTATGATATTTGACCTTGTATTACCCCCTGCGGTGGTCCAGATAAAAATATGTGACCTGAAAGAGCAGCTCAAGGTCGTTTTGGCAGCACAAGTTTAATTCCATGCCGGTGAGGCATCGAAAAGTTATTATTCTTTTTTAAATAGCATTCTATGTGGCAAACTTGGCTGTCATCACGGCTGCCTCTTATGGAAATTGGGAACCAACTGCCTCCTTCGTTCCTTACTCTCGTTACTTGCTCCGCCCTTCGGAGGACAATCATCCTCCCGTCATCATAATATAGGCACTCTGGACCATGACTCAAGACCATGAGGGCCCTGCTCATAAGGAATGAGCTTTGCATAATTCTTGAAGAGAAATACAGAGAACAGTATCAAGGAACTTGAAGCTCGTAGAGACCTGATTTATGAGACATCTGAGAATTTCCATTTTTCCTGGGATCCCTCTTGCTTGGGAGCGTGGTCTTTTTAGTGATAAAGGAAAGAGGATGAGTGCTTTGATGTAACTATGAGCAAGGTACACTCGCTTGCATTTTCATGCATTTTCATCTCATAAAATTCATTGTTTTAACCATTCCTTCTCACTTCTGTCACACTCCCAGTATGCTGGTACTTTAATGATTGACATGCAGGATGATCAAAAAGTCCTGCAACCCATGGGAGTATTCAGTATTTATTTAAGAAATCATTATACGAGAGGTGTTGAAAATGATGAAATAGTATGTAGCGTTTCTCAGAAAAATTCCTTGCTGAATCGACAGCATTGCCACTCCTCACCTGCAAAAAAATTATTATTACGCAATCATAGAACACTCACTTGTCTCATATGTTGCTGGACTTTTTGATCACCCTGTATATGAACTCAGATATGCCTGGCGTCCTATATGTAGGACAGCGTGCAGACGTGCATGAAAAATTCTCTAATGGTTGACATGTCAGTTACGTTGCTCAGAATTATCGTGCCAGGTATTAAGTGGCTAATGTAATGATGTTAATGTTTAGCCAGATAGTACTGAGTAACGTAACCGACACGTGAATCATAATAAAATTTTTCGTGCACATCTTTGCCCGCCGTCCTACATATAGGACGACAGGCACATCTGGGTTAAATCGTGCAATAAATGAAAAAGATGCGAATGAGGACGTATTTTTTGCTGGGATCGAACTCGCCCTCTTCACCCTATCCCTGTTCTGAGGTTCTCTCATCGGATCAATGGAATGGATTTCTCAATTTCTGGCCCATATATTTTCTTGCCATCTCTCACCTAGAAACAACTATGTAATCGTGTTCATCGTTCTGGCTTTCTTAGGTGCATTTCTTCTACCCTATTTCATTCTCCTCGTTATAATCGGGAAGCCCATGTACTTCATGGAGGTAGCTCTGGGCCAATATTCGCAGCTCGGTCCGATTTCCGTCTGGAAACTTGCACCCATTGCCAAAGGTAAGGTTACATGAGCGCCTGAATCCTTTCGTTCTTCTGACTTGCGAAATTAATGTCATTCTTGAATGTTCCGCGTAGGCGTGGGAGCAGCAATGGTGTTGATATCTCTCCTGGTGTCCATATACTACAATGTCATCATGGGCTACACCCTATTCTACATCTTTGCCTCCTTTCGCTCAGAAGTTCCCTGGGCGAAATGCCACGAATGGTGGGGAGCAGATGAACATTGCTACGAAAGAGATGTGAATGTCACCATACTGCCTCATTGCAAAACATTGATCAAGAAAGGCCTTCCTTTCCAGCCCGGTTTCAATTGCACATTGGAACGTTTCCAAACCGCACCTGAACAATTCTGGGAGTGAGTGACTTCACAAAGAATGCATGAACATGTAGGTATTATGGTGGATGATGTATTTGTGCCTGCAACTTTGGGAAGGAAGTACGTGTTGCACCTGAAGCCAGATGGATTGGATGAGCCTTTCCAATTGGGAGAGATCCGATGGGACTTGGCTCTCTGTCTTCTTCTTTCTTGGATCATTGTCTTCCTCTGCCTCATGAAGGGAGTCAAGTCCTCAGGAAAGGTAAGTCTGCTGGCTTCCTCATGATAGACCAAGAAAAGTGAGTTCGGAATTAGGATCGGGTAACTCTCAATTTTAAAGCTGCCTTTGCAGAATGGATATGACCCGATAATAAAAAGGGGAAATTTTCAAGAAAATCACATGAAAACTACGAGTTTATAAAATGATCCTTCTTGTGATACAGTCTCACCTCATGCCTGAATGTTCCCGTTTTCTTTCACTTATCTAATATATGACCGTAACCCACGCCTGCGAGTTTCCAGTTCAGGACTTCGACAACATCTCATCCCCGGGCCCGAAACCAGGGGCCAAACGACATATTTCGTTTTCGAATCCTCGTCTCAATTCATGCCTATATTTCTAAAATTGAAATGGGTTTGTCCTAATACTTGACAAAATATGTAAGCAATAAATGGGATTAACACATGGATTCTAAAAATTATATGGGACCGTGGACTGCAAGAGGATTTTTTGATTCAACAGCTTGGTCAACAATTGGTCAACAATTACGGCACAGCAGGGCAATTGGAAAATGAATGATAGCCATGGATTGGATGGCTTACGTTGGGGTTGGTCTTCATTTGTTCATCAGATTTATTTAGATCGGACACCAGCAACATTGGTCGGATCGGACTGGGAAAACACTGCCTTAAGATCGTGACATATCTCATTCAAGTACTCATTCCGTAAAGGAAACGCACACTTGCATTCTGGGAATCAGAAAAAAAGAGGCGTACGATACAATGACTTCATCCTTCTGATTTCTTGTCTAGGTTCATCGATTCCTTTTTTGATTCCTTGTGAAGGTGGTGTATTTTACGGCAACCTTCCCCTACGTGATCTTGATAGCGTTGTTGGTCAGGGGAGTGAGTCTGGAAGGAGCTGAAAAGGGCATCCGTGCTCTATTCATCCCCAAATGGGAGGAACTCCTCTCTATCCAGGTGGGTTTTCAATTCTAGTACCCTCCCCCCACTCCCCACCAATGATCAAGTAATTGGTTTTACTACGTTAGGAGACTCAAGGCCCATGTCGTGCATCATTTATAAAACGCAGCACAATTCTAAACATTTAGAGAATCTTTTAACAAAAAATTTCAACTCCTAACCGTTCCACTCATCCTTAGAAAAAAGTATTCCTATTCTCATCTTCCTTTTTCTATGCGGTCCAGTCAGGAAGTTCCGGGACAGGATTTATTTCCAGAAAGTGAACTGCAGTGCAGGGGTCACGAGCTTCTACAAATGCTTACCCTCAAAGAAAACTCCTCCATTGGCGGCGATGCATTTTTTCCAGCGTTGAAACAGAACCCAGAAGAGCCCTAGGAAAGATTGCACAGGGATTGCGTATAGCGCAGCCATCGTGTTTGCCTTGATGGCCTCCACATGCTCTAACCAGTCCCAGTGCAATCCTTTCAAAAGCATTTCCGGACCTTATTTCAACTCTGGAAGGAATGCATTGCCGGTGGAGGGGAATAGTTTGAGGGTGAGCGTTCGTAAAGGCACAACGACCCCTGTGCAGCGGTCCACTTGTAGTAATTACGAGTAAATCCTGTCGCGGAATTTTCCGAGTGGACCACGTATCTGTCGGGATCGAGAAAGGTTTGATTTTGTCCCAGGTGTGGCGGAAGGCAGCCGAACAGATGTTCTTCTCCCTCAGTGTCTCATGGGGAGGTCTCATCATGTTCGGATCCTACAACGAGTTCCAGAATCGAGTCCACATCGACGCCATGATCGTCTCTTCTCTGGATTTCCTGACGTCCATCATTGCCGGAGTCGTGGTCTTTTCCGTTCTCGGTCACCTTGCTCATGTCCTCCAGGTCGACGTTTTTGACGTCGCCCAAGATGGTTTTTCTCCCTCTTTTTCTGTGTCTGTGTGATCATCCGATTAGTTTCATAATTCACTGTCTGATTTATTTTTCCAGGGCAAGGGTTAGCATTTGTGGCATATCCAGAGGCAATCGCCTTACTTCCCATTCCTCAATTGTGGGCTGTGCTCTTCTTCTTCATGCTCTACACGCTCGGATTGGACTCTGAGGTCTTCTTGCAGCATCTTTTTTATTTTTCCCCTTTTCATTTTCATTTCATTTTCCTAATTTCCTTATTTCTCACTGTCATGTTGCATTTCTTTGTTTCTCAGTTTGCGATGCTCGAAAACCTCCTCACAGCCATCAGCGACGAATTTCCGTCGACAAGGAAACATAGAGTCTACCTGTGTGCGATTGCTTGCATAATTTGCTTCTTCCTAGGACTCCCCTGTGTCACGGAGGTGAGGATGAAAAGCTAAGCCTTCAAGAATGCGCCCTACCCAAGTACTACGTCACGGTAGATGTCGCTGCAGGTGAAGGCGTCGCATTATGCCAACATTGCAGGATTGCAGAGAAAGAAAAATAAATTCAAGAAAGAGCGAAGCGAATCACTTACTGGAGAGAAAATCCTTTCGGGCTTGACGTCAATTCTGCCACCTTTACCATTCGGAAATGTTTTAATCTAAAATTTTCGCCACCAATTTTAAGAAATTCAGCGGTTTGTGAAAGTAGATGCAGTTGTAGACCTCTACGAATATATTTAGTTTAAATGATACGGGCGCTGCAATTTCTTTCTGTTAAACTTGAGGGCATCCCCTACCCGTCAGAGGTACTTTTTCTTCAATAAGCTACGACAATTTAAAAAAATCAGAATAAAGTGAACATGAAACACTTGAAAATGGGAAGTTTCATAGTGATATAATAATAATGTATATAATCTGAAAATATTAAAAAAGTTTGGAAGTAATCTTCCTAAGATGTGAAAAATAAAGCAGGCCCATGCTTTCGCCGCGGGCATCCGATGGAAAATTGCGATTGCATTTAGATTTTGTAGATATTGACTATTAACATTCGAGAGTGGAATTTAAAAAGGTAATTCAGTTTCTCCTGATCACCAGAGATTAAAACTTTTGACTAGATTCAATGACAACCTGCTTCAACAAATTGAGCTCCTGCTTTGTAAGAAAAACCAAGTTCTGAGCACGTCAAGCAAACCCAGGAAACTGAACCTTGAAAATGAACAAAAACGTAAATTGAGACAATATCTCACTTATAAATTATGAGGAATTTGGTTTTTTTTCCTGTTTGCAAGGTGAAGCACCTTTAGTGTCACCTAATTACACCAAATTATGTCATAACACCTTCACCTGAAGCGACCTACCCTATGACGTAGTATCAACTCTTGTTTGACCAAAATAGTGAAACTTGACCATCGATTCAATTCAATGTCTATTCTTCGTCCAGGCTGGGCAATATGTCCTTGACCTGATGGATACCTTCGGCGGAGGAGTGGGGATCATGATCATTGCCGTGTGCGAACTCATCGGAATCATGTGGATCTACGGAGTCCGACGATTCTCGGATGATCTCCATTTCATGCTCGACCTTCGACCTAACATCTTCATCCGGGCCTCCTGGCTTCTCATCTCACCTCTTACCTTGGCTGTTAGTCTCCTGACCCTGCTCTCTTTATCATCTCCCCTCTTTCTTTTCAGACTGCATCTCGGCAAATGCGGGAAGATTGGTTTGGATGGACGGATCGATGTGAAGATGTATGCTGCTAGGAATCTTGGAAACTATGAAGGATTGAGCGACGAAAGTTGGCATCAATGTAACTCTTAAGACAGAGCAATGGCATATAAGGAATTTTCTTACACAATAACGTTAAAACCACAACGGATGACAAAGTCAGAATGAAAAGGCGGAACAAATTTGCATGAAATGCCATTGGGGTGTCGGGAACATAGTGTATGCCTAGTACAAGGTTCATAACAACGACCACAGTACGTGCAGAGGTATAGAGGCTAAAAGTCGAGTCTTTTTTGCTATACCCTGTAAAGAAGGAATTTCAATGTTGAATTTCTTAACTTGCCGAAAGGAAGAAGTAATACTTCAAGCCATATGATTAAGAATTTTGTAATATCCCAAGAACGACATTCTAATTCTACCTGGTTTGTTGTAATGTGGCAGGTTTTCTTCTTTAATCGTGAATTCAAACCAGACACTGCTGAGCAATAGATACCAAAGCAGATTCATCGAGAAAAAATTATAATTTCTCAACAATTTCATCTTCTCAAATATCGCAATTTCTTGATAGCAATTGTTTGGGGATTAGAGAACTATAGCGTATAAAAACGTTCGCTATCACAGCTATTGCAGCACCGACGTGACTGCAACACGATCCCGGTTAATATGGCAGTATCCCAACGCATAGGCTTCCTTCCTAGAGCTTCTTATCACATCCTGGCTTAGCTCATCCAGATTGTCGGGGTTGGGTCTGGTGTTAGTGGCCTAATGTGCCTTAAGGCCAAGGCATAGAATAGCAGAAAGAGTCAGAGCATCGTTCCAATCTTGCTGTGCAGAGCACCGTTAACCGAATATTTGAATCCGGTAAATACATGGGTCAATCATCTTAATCTCATTACATTAGCCCTTTCATTTGCTCCATCTTTCATAGACCTAGGTCATACCACGTGCTTTAGTCGCAATACTCACCGAGCTAATCGATTGTTCACAGTGGGGCTTCCAGACGGACTTAAACTGTTACTGCTCTTGATTTCTTAGGCACAGCCTTTCGTGCTTAAACCTACAGCTCTAACACCTGACGGCAGAAACAATTCTGGATTGTAATAGTTGAATCAGACGAGCGGCCTCAACCCCCTGAAGACGCAGGCTGCCGAGGCAATTTTCTATCTGAGGTCCTTCATTGACCTCATTCATTATCTGAGGTCCTCCATTTTATATTCCCTTTGCATTTTCCCAAATCTCCAGGCTGCTTTATTGCAGTCTGGTTTTGGATAAAGGTTGCTTTCTGTTCCCTGCTCTGAAGCCAAAGGCGAGACATATTTTGCCAAATTAGTCATTTGGCCTGTTCTTTATTCTTCTTACATGTATACGAGAATGATTACGAAGTCGCTAGGTGGGTGTACGACACTAGCAAAAAAACTATGCACCCCATTTCATTAAAACTTGAGGAATAGTATCACAACATCGGGGAAAGCGCTACACAAAAAAGTATTGATAGAGAACGCTGCTTATGTGACGTCACTTACAGGGTATGTACACGGCACGTGCAGTTATAGATGAGCATATAAAATGCTGCCATAAAAAGCTGGCAATCGGTTCTCGAGGAATTCTGTAAAGATGCTGATCTACATATATGCAGCAAATGGCGCAATGTTATTACTCTAATGGATTCAATGTAAAGGCTACATGGCACGCTTCACAGCTGCCTCGTACAGGTCCACCCATAGCAGCACATGCTGCGTATACAGTTGACGTAACATTTGCCCCGTAACTGGAGAAAGTCTACGCAACATGTTCAAGTCTGTGGCATGCAGATGGGCTTCTTTAACCCTTTGGCTGTTACGCATTGATATTACGCATTACGAGTCGTCCCATGCATCACAGGTTACGCAATGATTAATCATTTTTTACACTTCAACGCTTCACGGTTACCAATTAATATCTCAGT